CAACCGTTGCGAATTTGCCGACCGCCAGATCGTCAGGCTTCAGGAAACTCCCGGTTCGTACCTTGCTCCTTGTCCATCCTCCACCTCCCACCCAAAGCTGACGTGTCCTCACTTCCGCTTGCGCTTCCGCCCTCTCGCAGACGCCGTCCCCGACGGACAAACGCCGCACACCGTCTCGCTCTGCCTTTACGACGAGCTCGTCGACCTCGTCAAACCCGGAGACCGTATCAACCTCACCGGCATCTTCCGTTCCGTCCCCGTGCGCGTCTCGCCGCGCGAGAGGTCCATCAAGTCGCTCTTCAAGACTTATGTCGACGTCGTGCACATTCGTAAGAGCGATGCGAAGAGGATGGGTCAGGATGGGAGTACTAAAATGGGAGATGATAGGAGGGGGGTTATTGGAGTTGGTGGGGAGGAGGAGAGGAACGATGGGATGGAGGTGGATGATGAGGAGGAGGGAGGGGAGGATACGGCGGCGGCGAAATTGAAGGAGAGGATGGTCGAGATTTCGAGGAGGGAGGATGTGTACGAGTACTTGGCGAGGAGTTTGGCGCCGAGCATTTGGGAGATGGACGACGTCAAGAAGGGTATCCTGCTGCAGTTGTTTGGTGGGACGAATAAGAGCATTGGGAGGGGTGGGGGCGGGGGAGGACCGAGATACAGGGGCGACATCAACGTCTTGTTGGTCGGTGACCCGGGAGTGAGCAAGTCGCAGATCTTGAAGGTGCGTTTGCGTTTTGTTTTCTTTTCCTCTGGGAGCGCGTGGGGTGATGAGAGCTGACGTGGTTGTTTCGCGGCGTGTCCAGTACGTGCACAGGATCGCTCCTCGTGGTGTCTACACTTCCGGCAAGGGTTCGTCCGCCGTCGGATTGACGGCCTACGTGACTCGCGATCCCGATTCGAAGCAGCTTGTGCTTGAGAGGTGGGCTCGAGTACACTCTTTAGATCGGTTTGCGACGAAGCTGACCCCTTTTTGGGTTGACAGTGGTGCCCTCGTTCTCTCCGACGGTGGAGTGTGCTGCATCGACGAGTTTGACAAGATGTCGGATGCGACTCGCAGTGTCCTTCACGAAGTCATGGTTCGTCATCCTTCCTACGATTCAGCAATGATACAGAACTCACGCCATCTTCTTCCTCCGACAGGAACAACAAACCGTTTCGATCGCGAAAGCCGGGATCATCACCACGCTCAACGCCCGCACCTCGATCCTCGCCGCCGCCAACCCTGTCCAGTCTAAATACAACCTCAACTGGCCCATCACGCGCAACATTGACCTCCCACCTACCCTCATCTCGCGTTTCGACCTCTTGTACCTCGTGTTGGACAAGATCGACGAGGCGGGCGACCGAAGGTTGGCGAGACATTTGGTGTCGCTGTACCTCGAGGACCGACCAGAGACTGGTGGACACGACATCATGGTTCGTCTCTTCTCTTGCTCTTGCACCCTCTTTTGTTCTCAGGCTCTGACTTTTTGTTCGTGGCAGAAAATCGAGGACCTCTCGTCGTACATCTCGTGGGCCAAGTCTCACATCCACCCCGAGATCTCGGAGGAGGCAGGCGACGCCCTCGTCAAGGCGTACGTCGAGATGAGGAACGCTGGTACGGATGGTCGTACGAACGATAGGAGGATTACTGCGACGACTCGTCAGCTCGAATCGATGATTCGTCTTTCCGAGGCGCATGCTCGTATGCGCTACTCGGAGACTGTGGAGGTGAGCGTTCTGAAGCCGGTCACGACTGTTAGTGCTGGTGGCTGATGGGATCCGTGCTTTTTAGCTCCAAGATGTCACTGAGGCCAACCGACTCATCCGTGAGGCTCTCAAGGAGTCGGCTGTGAGCAAATTTTCTCCTTTGAGCGTTTATTCGACACTAGACTGACGTGTGCGCCCTCCCCCGCAGACCGACCCTCTCACCGGATTGCTCGACCTCGACCTCCTCAACACGGGCCAGGGCATCCAGCAGCGCAAGCTCCGTGGTGACCTCCGTCGCGAGATTGTTACCATCCTCGACTCGAAGGAAAAGGGCATCCGCTGGAACGACTTGATGAAGGCGCTCGAGGCTCAGTCGTCCATCCCCGTCGAGAACGCCGAGTTCTCCGAGGTCATCAAGGCTGTGAGTTGTGCCCCCCTATTCTGGCTTTGGCGGGATTGCCGAACGAGATTCTGATCGATGGTGTTTCCATCTCCCAGCTCGAGCAGGAGGGTAGCGTTAAGGTTCACGGGGAGCGGGAAAAACGCATGATCAGGAGGACTGGGGGCGGTGCGATCGAGGTTTAGACGGCAGTTGTACTTCTTTTGGACTTTGGATTGTTTTGTTGGGCCAGAGCTCTAGCTTTGGCAAATGCAAGTTGCATGTATCTTTTCTCTCTTTTCCTCGATGGCAGACACGCACCGGCTGCGTGATGAGGTTTGCTGCAGTACCCCTGGCATCGGAACCCGTAACTCGGACCTGAAGCAGGGTCATGAAGCTCGAGCCCTTTCGAGGCAGCCTCGTATGGGTTTTTTGAGTGAAATCTTTGCACGCCTCCGTGCCTCTTTCTTTCTTTCCTTCACCTCTTCCCCCTCTCAGCGAGAAACCCCGTCTACCCTTACCGTCGCCCTGCCCCGACGGTCCCCAACACGTCAACAGCACCGCCGTCTCCCCTCCGACAATTCCGTCCACGATGGCTTCCGTTCCTACCGTTCCCACCGCATTCGAGCACTACTGGTTCAAGATCCTCCCACTCATCGAAGCTGGCGACGATGACGCGCCCATCATCCTCAAAAAGTTCACCCAGTGCTTCGACGACGACATGCCCGTGGAATACCAACTCGCGGCGGACTATAGTGGTTTCAATCCTTTCCATCTGCTCATCCAGAGGGTATTGCTCTTCTGTGGGACTAAGAACGTGGCGCTGGAGGTGTATACGAAAGGAAGGGATTACTGGAGAGGCTCGATGTCGAACCTCAGAGGTCATCGCAACCCAAACATGTGGTGGGCAGCGTTCGAGGAACAGTATGTGTCATCTTGTTCTTAGAAGAGCTGATAGCTAATGCGGGTTGATGACAGGGTTCTGGTGAAGGTGCTTTCGAAGCAAAAAGTTCAGGAGGATTTGGTGCAGATCGCGCAGGAGGACGTCGACGTCTTCCGAAAGGAGATGCACGTCGAGACGCTGGCGGTGCCATCGGTGTGGACGTACGAGGACTACAAGTCGGCGCTCCAAATACTCGGGATCTCGCTCAACGTGTATGTTGAGGATTCGGATGGTGCAGAGGATACAACGAGGTTCGAGGACGACGTTGCGGACGAGTTTATCGCGCGCCAGCACGCCGGCTTGTCGTATTACGTGGCCGACCAAGTGGAGGTGCTCTGTCACTGGTGAGTAATTCTCAGTCCTTCTTAGGCCATCTCACTAGTATCAAATAGAAAGTGGCAATTCCAGGCTGACGGCGATGATAACATCCACAGGCTTCAGCAGAACATCTCTACTCGAGCGGCGAGGGCGAGTGAGAAGGCTGACAAGTCGACCAGGAACTCCACTTCATCCAAGCCCAAGTCGACCGCTCAGGAAAGGAAGCAGAAAAAGAAAGACGACGCAGCGGCTGCGGCGGCTGCCAAGGCGGCCGAAGAGGAAGAGGCTCGTCGGTCAGTCACTTTTGTTCTGGTCCAGACTTCGTCCAGTCGATCCTCACGAGCTAGGTGACTTGAAAGGCGTAAGGAAGAACAGAGGAAAAAGTGAGTTGCACCGGTGCATCTCTTCTGACTGGCGTCCAGACCGGGGACTGACGTGGCACGACCGTAGACAGAAGGAGAAGGAAGCCGCCAAAAAGAGTGGCGCGAGCAAGTCCACGCCAGCACCGGAGACTTCCAGTAGCAAGACGCGGAAGAAGGAAAGGGAAGCTCAGTGCGTGATTCGTTTCTATCTCCTGCCCTTCCAACTAACGCGGTCGCCACGAACAGGAGGAAGGCGGCACGGCGAGCAGAAAAGTTGGGCGGACGTTTCTTTCTTGCGGGAGAGCACTTGTCGATGAAAGTTAAATCCTCAGAGCAGCGGCGCAAGCTCCAGAGCCGACTCCCATCTGGACCAATGAGATGCTGGCGATCGGCGGTCCGTTCGGGCCCAGCGTCGGTCAAGTGATGGAAGCAAACGGAGCAACGCAACCTCTTCCTATCAGGCGAAGGAAAGTGTATGTTGTCTCGCAACTCCCCTTTCTTGATCTCTCGAGCTTATGTAAACATCCCTGACAGCAAGAAGCGCCCATCCCTCCCAGAGCTGCGTCGACCATCGGACGATTCTCTGGGAGAGCATCAGTCTAGTTCGGGTGTAGAAAGGAGCCTGTGCGTGCTTTGTCTTTAAGATTGAGGTTATCGTGACACTCTGTGGGTGCAGGGCATCGAGGATCCGTCAACCGCCCAGTGCTTTTAGTCCGGTCAAACGTGGGCTGGTGGCCTTTCCAGCAACCCGCTTCCTCAACTTCTGATAAATAGCTGCAAGTAACCTAAAAAGGGTTCTGTGAACAAGGCTTCAAGGACACCACTTTGATGAAAAGTTGAAAGGCGCTCAATCGGAGCCGTTCTCCCTTTTGCCAATCCTTTTCGACAAAAAAAAACGAAAGGAGTCCAACTTGGGAGACGTGGTGTGGGCATACGAGTTTTTCTGACGGAAAGGTTTAGGGAAAATGAACTGCATCTGAGCGAGCTGATCGAGAGATACCTTGCATCATGGTCCAGTGCCCATCAACGCGCGGGCACCCTTCGCGCCTCCGCGCTGGCCGAAAAAAGGGTCAGACACCTCAAGGGACGGGAGATGGATGAGAGTATGTAAAAAGAGTAGTCCGAAAGTGCAAAAAAGGAGGGAATGAGATCCGTTGCCGCATGGTTCAGTACTCTTCAAGCACACAGCGCGCCAGCACCCTTCTCGCCTCCGCGCCGGCCCAAAAAAGGGTCAGACACCTCAAGGGACGGGAGATGGATGTTAATATGTAAAAAGAGTAGGTCGAAAGTGCAAAAAGAGGGGTTTGGCCCGAACTGGGAATTGAACCCAGGACCTCTCCCAAACGATCATTAAAGACCCTAAGAGAGAATCATACCTCTAGACCATCCGGGCTAATCACGTGACTAAGTGTCACAGAGTGCACCCCTCGTTATGGCTGATCAAACTTGAAAAAATTCAGTAAACTGCATTCAGCCTTGTCCTTTACTTTTTGATCGTAGGCCGCTGCAATTGAGCCCACAGATACAGAAGAAACGCCCAAGACGATACTCCCCCACCGCTCCCCTCCTCCCCGTCAACCAGCCTGGCCCTTCCCTCCTGGCCAGCAAGATCCACACCCCTTCTCCTTAACTCCCCCTCCCCCCTTTCCCCTGTATTGTCAACACTAGATGGAATCCCACACTACCCAAGGTGGCTTGGTGGGCATAGAAACATTTGATCTTGCACCCCTTCTTCTTCCTTATGGAGCTCTTCTGTAATGCAGAAGTTTGGATACAGAAAACAATGGGCACACGGGTTGGGAGAGAGTTGTTCCTTTGGACTAGTACAGATTATGACCGACAGGATACTGCGCTGAAACCGAAGTAAAACTGAAGTTTTCGTTCCTCTTTCCTTTCGATCACTGCATGCTACACACAACGGCATTCTTTGCTTTGACGCCTGCAATCCCAATTCGTGGCCCCCCACCCAAAAGTCAGCCCAAACGTCTTGTACTGCACAGAGTTTTCTTCAACAAAGACCCACCAGTAAGAAGCAGTTGGTTGCCATATGCCACGCCAGTGGTGACCGTCGAGATGACGTTGCCATCATCAGCAAACACGAGTTCGGCATCGTACTTCTTGCCAAAGTACCTGCACAAGCGAAGCAAACCATGAGCTTTTCTTCCTCAGAAACTGTCTTACCACAGCTGAAAGGGAAAACGCACTGGTCTTGCGAGGTCTCGTCCCTGACTCGCCAGACCTCAACGGGGGAGAGACTCGTCGACCCGGGCGTGATGGCGTTGAGCAGAGCGAGGGCTTTCGGGAACGCAGCGGCGTAGACTGAGCCATCAGCGGCAAATTTGACGTTGTCGAGGGGTCTTTTGATCTGTTGAAAGGTGTGAGCGAGTCAGGGAGCTGTGGCTGGATAGAGAAAGGGGAAGAAGGGGAGGGAGGAGACAGACATCAACGTCGTCAATGAGGACGAGGGTGTTGTCGGCTTGGGATTCCCAGATCTTGATGTGGCCGTCGAGAGATCCGGCGGAGTAGAATGTGTTGCCTCGGCCCTGCGGAAGGATGGCGCGAAGAGCTACACGTCAGCACTGGGCGGGAGGAGAGCGGGGGTCGAGAAGAGCGCACCTTGGCGATTCCTGCGATGACGCGAATCATTCGAATGAGGCTGGGAGAATAAGAAAAGAAGAAGGGACGGACCATTGGGGTAATAGATTCCATCTACAGCAACGTTGCACTCTGTCGTCCCGCTCTTAAAGTCGCAATAGACAATGTCGGTGGATTTCGTCGCATAGATCGTCTCGGTGTATCTCGTCTACCACCCACATCAGCTCTGATCATCCCAAACAGGAGAAAAGAAAAGTCTTCACTCACGAATGAAATCTTATCGGCATGATCATTCGTCACGTAAACCCCCGTCTCCGAAACCGCCGCGACCGCGTTCGGCGTCCTCACCAACTCGCTCTCCACCGTGTAAACCCACCTCGCCTCTCTACTCCCGACCCTCGTCTCAAACACTTCTACCACCGAATCCGCTCCCACTTGCCCCGCTTTCTCCCTCTCGACCGGCGGAGGGTGACTAACGAGGAACAACGTGATCTTCCCTTCCTCACCCGCGTAGCCCGTCATACCGTGCACCCAGATCCCGTTGGAAGACGAAGGGAGGTTGGTAAGCGTGAGAGTGGTGGATTTCTTAGTGGAAAAGTCGTAGTGGACGATCCGGTCGGTGGAAACAGCGGGGGTGTGGGCGCCGTCGAGGACATAAGCTCCGGGAAGCCAGTGCTGCTTGTCGGCAATGGAGGAACAGGCTCTAAAGGGAAAAGGTATAGTTTGTTTAAGTGTATATGTGGAGAAGAAGGCCGAGGAGTGGGCGGAACGCAGCCAGACCACATGGCACCACACGAAAGAATGCGGGGACTCACAGATAGGCCGCCCCGCTGTCCTCGTGGACCCATGCGTCCTCACACGCTTCGGTATCTACATATCTGATCCCATTTAAGATCTCTCTATCCTCCTCCCGCCTTTGAAACACTTCCAAACTCACCCGGAATAGCAACACAGCTCGCATTATTCACGCCGAGGCTCAAGGTCCTCCCGATCCCCCACAGCTCGAGTTTCGGTTGGAGGAGCGAGATGACGACGACGCCGACGGGGAGGAAGTAGAGCAAGAAGTTGCGGACGCGTTCATACAGCGTTGGCATGGTTGTAGTGGTGCGGCGGAAGAGGAGAGAAACGAAAAGAGGAGGGGCGCCACCGGCTGAACTAAGGGCAGACGAATAGAGCCCGAAGCCGGTGGAGCCACGTGGTTGTGTTCGGGCCTTATACTCTTCTCAGTGACATGTGGATCTTCGTTTCTGCTCATGACTTAACGGCCACAGCCACGGCATCATCCTCTCATTCAGCCACGGCATCATCCTCTCATCCGCCCACAAGCACAAAAAACGACATTGATTCCATCGCTTCCCATCTGCCGGCGAACTCAGGCCTTACCAGCAGTGAGCTTCTCGACCTCCTCAATCGTCTTGGGTGCCGTCGTGAGGTTCTCGAATCCATCCTTGGTGATCAACAAGCTGGGTTGGGGTTTCGTGCCAGCAGATCAGCGACCCGAACGAACGTGCCACCCTTCGAGGGGAAGCCCAACAATGGTGGAAAGAAATGACACGCACTTGTCCTCAATCCTGACTCCACCGACATACCAATACTTCTGGAGCGTCCTCTGGTTGACGTATTCCGAGTTCTTGAACGCCGCGAACAAGAACTCGTTGAAGTAAATCCTGCATTTTCTCAATTCCATCAGCATGTTGATCACAGAGGAGGTCAGAAGAAGGGATGAGTAGACGCACCCAGGCTCGACGGTCACGACAAAGCCTTCCTCGAGAGGGACGCGGAGACGAAGGTAGCGCATGAGCGGGTGCTTCGACTTGCCCTCGGGGAGACCGCCGACGTCGTGCACCTGTCGCAAAAACATCCGCGTTCGCCATCAACACTTTAGATGAGAAAAGTGGAGAGAAACAGAGGAGGAACGCACATCGAGTCCGAGCAAGTGGCCTGTCCCACGAAGAAAAGAAACAGAGGACCACGTTAGGTTCTCCTTACACCTCCTCTCACGAAGAGCAAGCTCAACGCACCAACACCATGCGGGAAAAACGCGTTCGACAGCCCACTCTCCAAGATCTTGTCCACCAGCTCGTCCTCACTCCCTCCGAACCCTCCCTTCGCGAAGATGCCGAGCTTGAGGAGTCCGCGAGTGGCGACCTTGTGCATGAGGAGTTGGACGTCCTCCCAGTTCGTTCCCGGGCCAATGATCTTGAACGCTTCCTGTGAATTGCGAAATGATTGAGGGTTAGAAGGGGGAGGAGCGGGAAAGGGGGAAGACGCGAACCTCCTGCATTTCGAGGACGAGCGAGTAAATGTCGGCGCACTCTTCCGTGAACCTACCGCCGTTGCCAATCTGATCTCGCAGTCCCAATCAGTATCTTCTTACCCCTTTCCGTTCGAAAAAAAGAAGAACACGCACAGGAATGCACCTCGTTACGTCTCCAGCGTAGTTGTTGAACTCCGCACCCGCGTCGACCAACAACAAAGCCCCCGGCTTGCTACTAGGGAACAGCTGGTCGTTGGCAATATAGTGTAGCGTGCCCGCGCTCGACCCACCGGCCATGATCGGGGTGTACGCCTGATGTTTCGCGCCCTTCCTCCTGCAGTACCCGACGAACTCTGCCTCCGCCTCCCCCTCGTCCTTGACCTCCCCCTTCCCCACTGCTTCCATGAGCCTCTTGTGCGCACCACTAGTGATCTCATTCGCTTTCCTCATCTGCTCGACTTCCCATGCAGTCTTGTTGCGACGAGCGGCGTGGATGGCGGGGAGGAGGTACTGGGAGGTGTAGGTCGGACCGTTGATGCGCGCAATCATCTGCTTCGGAGGGGTGGTGAAGGGGAGGTGGTGGATGTAGGTCTTGACGGGGGAGGAAGAGAGGAGCTGGGAAGCGAGCTGGACGGGCGTCCATCCGGCGGAGATGCTCGTGTGGTTGAGCGTCGAGGCGAGGGACTCGGGCGTCGCGGGGAGGCCGCACCACCTATGGATTGAAAGCAATAGGTATAGAAATGGATGTAGAGAGAAACGCAGAGAACGTACATGACCTCGTCAGGGTCCACCTCTGGCAACCAGAGCTTGCTCTCGACCTTGGCGACATCGACCTCGTTGCCGCCGTCGTGCTCGTAGCTGACCGTCAACGCCGACCCCGGGATCTCGCACCCGCTCAACCAAGCAAAGTTGCTCTCCTGCCTGAACGGCAGCTCACGATCCGTGTCGTACCGCACCTGCGTCTTCTCGCCGACGAGGTAGATCAGGTGGTGCGACGGCCCGATGGACGGGTTCTGCGCGAGGAGGCGCTTGAGGAGGAGGTGCGAGTGCAGCAAAGGCGAGCGGGTGGTCATGGGTGCAAGTAGTGCGAGTTGTGAAAATGGTGCGAGAAATGGAAGGTCGAGGAAGGAACAGCGAAGGATTTCAAAGGCAGAGTGGCCAAGGCCCGAAGCGCGTGCAGCGACCTCGAGGGCGGGGACGCCTCCAGCCGGCCTGCCGACGCGTACTCCACCTCCGCCCAATCCTCCCAATTTCTCGCACTACTTTTCGTGAGTCAAAGATAGCACTTCTGCCGCTTGCTATTTGAACAGATTGAGGCAGGGTACTCTCAGCAAATGCACCACGTCAGCCTTCACCCCATAACACGTGGCTGTTCTCCTTTCGTTATCGGCTCTTCACCGGCACCACACACGATGTTCATAGCTTCAGTAACGTCATTTTGTCTTTCTCTACTTCACCTCCCATCTGAAGTACCCTCCGGCTCAAGAAAGAACGGCCAGCCAGCCTCCCCCAAGCGCCGCCTGTCCTCCGGATCCCTCAAC